GATGGGGGGTGCGGTAATTACCATATGTTTGATTCTTTTCTGTGTGAATGTGGATGCACATGAATTGCGTTTGAGAGCGCCTCTAATTAAGATGGAGAATCTCAGTGATTTTTATCTGCACATGGACGATTCAATTTTCTGCACTCTTTAACCAGTATCGGCAGGCCCAGTTTCAATTAAAACGGTATAGAACCTGTTAATTATTCATTTGCAATACCTGTTGTACAAGTACCATATTATCCGCTTAACTACAGTTTCAAAAGCAAGTGAGCTTCCCACTGTTTCTTACAAGGAGACAATTTCTAACTTATGGCAATTGCCTTTGAGGAAACTAAACCAAACTAAACTAAACTAAACTAAACACAATACTATCTATACACTATAATCTATCTATCTACCTATAATTGATCAAATTGTACTTATTTTGAGCTTGTCTCAATGCATTATGTCTTAGAATGAGGCCAGAACGAAGTATCTTTATATAACAAACTAAGCTAAAACTAAAAATTCTACACATGAGTTTTGTCTCTGGTCTCTGGCATAAAACACTCTTTTATCTTTTTAAAGACCCCAAGTGGTTTCATGGGAGATAATGAAAGTAGTTTTAAACATTTTTACTATCAGAGTCGGAAAGTCAAGCTACAGTCTTTCTCGATTAGCACAGCAAAGATAGAGACATTGACATCTTTTCATGATTCTTCAGCCCAACCACTGAGGTGAATTTTAAGAGAACTGAATAGGTTAGAGGTCAAGATTTATCTCATGCCATTAGGTCATATGTCAGTCAATGACTAAGCGCACTCCAATCAGAAGAGGAATATAATCTCTCCTTCACGACAAAAGACACTTTATTTAGGCTACAAGCATCTCATTTTACGTTGTTCTCTTAAATACAATCACTCTATGGGAGGAAATTAGCATTGCAAATAGCTGCTTATGGACTTTGATCCTCATTCTGACCTATCAGCACATCTAGCTCCCTAGTAATGGGAGACACAGAAGAGCACGCCAATTATCCCATTATGAATAACTAAGAGCATGCATACCAATGCAGACACAGTCCAGCCTGTCCACCCTACGTATATTAACAAGGCCAGCTCGAAATGATGAGAGGAAACATGTCAGTCTTGGCCCGCCGCTGCTGCATCTCAGCCAAGAACTGAGCTTGCCATTTGTGTGTTTGCTTTCAACATATGTCTCAGGCTGAGCGAATATTGGCCCTGTTTACACCCTATTGTCTTGTTAATAAATTGTCACAGAATTTCATTAAAACAATCCAAACATGACTTCTTTCAATGAAAAACCACTTAATTGCATGCAAAATACACTTTAAAAACAATATACCATACAATATAGATATTTTTACACAGTAAAAATATAATAATAAAAATAATAATTTTTGAGCGTTTTATACAAAAGGAGATCCTATATTAATTAATCTGCTTTACAGTAGTATTTTTGATCCAATAAAAATAATAACAAATTAATATAGATATAGTTATATATATATATTGTGTGTGTGTATATATATATATATATATATATATATATATATTGTGTCATATTGTATATCAGCTTCGCCATCACAGAAATAAATTACATTTACTTTATTACAAATTACATATATATATATATATATACACACACATACATATCACTTTTTTATTTAAACTTATTTGTAATTACAATATATGGTTTAAAATAATAAACAAAAAACCACAGCAAGATAAATCTATTATTGTGATTTGAACTCCCCTAGCACAAAAAAAATAACTACATTTTTGGTCATGTCTTTTCTTGCCTGCATGGGGCACCAAGAGAGCCAGAAATGCCACTTGTTCCCCTTCAAAAAATATGTGCATGACACCCTTGACTAGAACTGTAGTAACTACACCATTTTGGCAGAAAGTGGCCACCACTGTATTTTTGTAAAGAGTCTTTTAAAGTATATACAAGGGGGAGACAATGTGAAGTTTTCATGGATGAAGACAAGATGGTGATGACTTAGCCATATAAAATACTTGGGAAAAAATATTTTCTATTCTTTGACAGTGACTTTAGATTAAAAAAAAAAAAAAAAAACTAGGATGAAGCCCACCCTCTGTCTTTTTCTTACCCACTGGAAAACTAAGAACTGGAGCAAGAGAGGGTGAAAAAGAGAACGAGTAAGCGAGCGATATAATACAAAAAACGAACCGAGAGGAGACAGAGGCAGCTTAACACTGGTGTCTTCGGGTCAGAAGAGTGGTAAGCTTTAGAGAGACAGATAACAGGATTATGGGAAGCATGGCCACAGTCCTCCGGAGCCCACAGACCCTTCATCCTCACAAGCCTGGACAGCTCCTGTGGTGTGCTGAGCGGGGGGCTCTGACGGACTACTGCTGCACTCCATTTGGGAATACAAGAGACTCTTCTATAGTTTATCTCCCCTCGCCGTCTTTGACAGAAGGAGGTTAGATGCTTTGCTACAACTCACACGCCACAAACGCTCCTCTGCCAAACACACACAAGCTAAACATTTAAAAACCATTCAGGCAAAAGGGCAATGTGTTTACAAAGTTCACAGTGACCCAAACTTCCATTAAGATAAAACACTTAATGTCAACCCTCAGAAGATTGATTTCAAAATGTCATGGTTTTTGCATTTTGTTGTGAGGTTGCTAGGGTGTTCTGGATAGTTGTTAGGGTGGCCAAGTTTAGTATTTTCGTTACGGGTTTGTTGAAGTCCCAGCCCCTAAGTATGAGAAATGCCTTAATAAATTCCTTCTAGTAAATCTATCTCAGAGCTATTCAAATAAAAAGCTATTAAACATGAATGCAGAGTGGGCTCTATCCATTTTGTCCCGACCGGCTTGCCAGTAATAAGGTACAAGAAATAACCATCATACCGTATAAAATCAAAATGAGCACGCCATAAATTAAGAACCACCGAGACAAGTTTGTTACGCAACATCTTAAATCAGTGAACTAAATAAAAAGGCTTTGATTTTAATGACAGTATAGATCCGCAGTAATAGAGATTACTTTTAGTCTGTTTTACAACTTAATCTCAACTGTCTCACAGCGCATAAAAATATGAGAGCATAACAAAGTGACTGACATAGACTAATTTCCGCATGGCGTCTTCCGCGACTTCTCAGCCGTGAGAAAACAGACCTTGCACTTTCTGAACTGATGAGCAAGTCAGAAAAGTCAGAGATCTGAATGATAGAGGCAAACATTTCACAGATGTAAATCATCTAGACATATGTCTGTGAGTTTTCTCC